AAACCAAAAAGGCGTGAGACAAGAATGCCCACTATCACCTTCATTATTCAATGTATTAATTGAAAAAGAAATAAACGCCATAAAAATTCAATTAGAAAAAATTAAATTGGAGTGAACATAGGAGGGGTACTAACAACGATGGTTTTCACTTTGCAACATCTGAGGAAGACTTACAAACAGCATTAAATGTAGTGAATATTACATTCAAATAATATAATCTGAAAATAACGTCCAAAGCTCTAGTATGTTATAAGAAATTCATGAACATTAGAAAACAAAAAAGTTATCCAAGTAGACTATTTCAAATATTTAGGCAGTACTGTAACAGACGACGAGAAATCAAGCAAAAAATATATTCCTTAAAAGAGAAACATACTAAGATCATAAAAAATGAACATAATAACGAAGAATCGGTTCATAAAAACATACGTCTGGAGTGTAGCATTATATGAAGTGAGATTTGGACAGTTAATAAGAAAAGAAAGATATGTTAGAATCTCTGAAGATGTGGTGTTAGAGAAAGATGCAGAGAATAAGCTGTATTGATAGAAAATCAAATGAGGAAAATAGATAAAAAACGAACATTGATAGACATTTTAAAGAAATGGTAGGATACACGATGAGACATGGAGATGAATTGTATAGTTTAATAATTGAAGGAATGATAGAAGGAACAAGATCAAGAGGAAGACCTAAGACGAGATACGTTAACCAAATAATGCATGATGCAGGAGTCACTTCCTTCAGGGAGCTCAAGAATGTGGCAAATGATAAAAGAAAAATGGAGATAGCATTTATTATGAAAAATGTAATAAAATTCAATCTTCGGATTGATACACAATAAAATTATTAATGATACTCACTGATAATTAAAGAACTTAATGCCATTACACTATAGTTAATTTGTTTCTTATTAATATCATTAGTATCGTAGTAAATAATCGTGGATTAATTTATTGTAAATTTATATGGAATAGTGTTATTTGATTGATTTTTCCGTGTAGATTTCTAAATCTATGCTAAAATCTGAAATTTTTTTTGCTTCATTGCAAAGCTGAGAAGTTATTAATTTTAATATGGTATTTTTTTTTATTTGTGTCTTTTACCACTTTTCTTGGTTATCACTGAACCGATTTCTCTTAATGATATATTAAAAGGTCAAATCGTTTATATAATAATAGACATTATTCTCAAAAATTTCAGTCTTTCACCTTAAATAGGGGAAATCTCCAAAAAATAAAATACAAATTTAAAATTCGGTTATTTTTGATACTTTTTAAAAATTTTTTTACTGAAAACTGCCATAACTTTTTGAAAAATGTATGGATCAATACAATTTTTTTTATCGATACCTGAGGTATCATTTGGTATATTTTTTTATAAATCTAATCATTAGTCTAATGTGAATAAGAGCTGAGAATATTTTTGGACAGACATATTTTTTTTAATCTGACCCTTTACCTGCTGACAGGGGGGGATCAAAATAACAACTTTATCACAAAAAATGAACTTTTTCAACTGAACTTTTGAAAGAGTTCCAGAAATACTGATACTTTTATTTATATCTTAAATTAAAGCTTATGACATGTACTTTAATGGAAAAAAAATTTCAAACATTAATTTGTCNTTTTGAAAGAGTTCCAGAAATACTGATACTTTTATTTATATCTTAAATTAAAGCTTATGACATGTACTTTAATGGAAAAAAAAATTTCAAACATTAATTTGTCTTCGTGGTGAAAATGGCTACCGTATTTCAAAATATGCTATTTTTTGTTATAATTATTGATTTAATATTTTTTTTATATGTAATAATATCAAAAGTTAGATGTGATAGAAAAAGTCTTATTTCAGATTTGCAAACAGTGCGAAAAGATGATTTAGAAAAGTATATTTAATTTTGATGAAAGTTCCTTTCAGACCAATGTATTCAATCATAAGTAAAAATATAATTATAGTCATAAAATTATTTTCGAGAAAAAAGTAATAAGAAAGTGTTTAGAAAAGAGACGAATGAGTTGACGTAAAAAATATCTGGCAAAGAAAATGTGGTAATATTAATGAGATATGATCGGATATGTAGGAAATGAGAGAAAAGGATATGAAAGAGTACATGAAGAGGCATTATACCTTTTGGAAATAAATAAATGTAAATTATGATGTCGTTGAAACATAATTCTCACATAGGCAGTATTTAAGAGTTCATTTTAGAACAAATTCACATATCAAATATTAACAGGATCAAATCGTTTAAGTAAAATAAACGAAATTTATACATAATATTAAATAATTAATTTAATAATGGACCAATAAGAGAGATAAAAACAGAATAAAAAAGGAGTGCCGTGGGCATGACAGATCCAACGCCTGGGTCAGGTTAAAATAGACGTTGGTGACACCAACGTTAATGGGTATCCTCTACATAAATGTAAGGGACCCATCGAGTTGTTCACCATGTCCACCCTGACCACTGTTACGAGAGTAACAAATAGAATAAAATAAAATAGTATTGCCGAATAATTAATTAGTTTATTAAAAAAAAGTAATAGTAATTGCACAATAGTTGTCAAATGACTAACGATGCTCTGAATTACAACAATCGCAGTCGGCCCACTTTCCGGTTTTGCAACACCGAAAAATACCTTATAAACACATTCTTATAGGCCGACCTCGATTACAATTCAATTTATTATTATCTGCTATTATAATTGCAGAACAACAATAAAACTAAGTTAAGTATTCATAACACCACACCCGAGGACCTGTCAGCTCACGAAGGGTGAAGAAAGAAAAATTAAAAAAGTAGAAAGAATTGACTATACAACATAATTTCAGATCATAGTGATAATCCATGTAATCATTAACTAAAATAAAAAGGTATGACTAAAATAGTCAACTAACTCATAAAAAAACAATAAATTAATTTATACGTGCACACTGTACAAAACAAAATATATCACATTACAATAAATTGTTGACATGTCCAAGGTGCAGATGTAAATGTTGTTGATGCCATTTTGATGCCCAAGCCAAATTGAAAAAAACTACTTCTCCATAACGGATTCATAAAATCCAACGACACAAAAAAATTGATGAGATGGTGACCCCAGTCGAAGAAGAAGAAAAGAATAATGATGATTATTGAGATCCTTTTTTAAACATGACCGTACTCAAGTCCAAGCCGGCTGGATAACACATGGGAAAGGGTAAGTGCCAGTGTGACCATTATAATGTGGTATAATATGGTATGGATCATAGGTGATAGAAAAAATTATTTGTATCGTAAATAATTATGTGTATTTATGTAACACTGACCCTACAGATGTACGATGCGCTCTGTTTGAAACAGTTACCTGTGACCTGATACTCATGATAATTTTATTAGGTTACAAACTTCTGAAATAGTTGTAAAAAGCTATTTATTTTTTTAATGAAATAATTTTATATTTTATAAACTTGTGGAATATGTCTGTTTCCATTAAAAATTAAATATAGTTGACACTCTTATAACCCGTAAGGGATGACAATAGGAATATTTCGATAATAGCATTGGCGGCTCGCCGATTGAGGCAAGTGAGGCACAATCTCACCTGCAATTTACCTTATAATAATTTATTTATTTCGAGCCTCTATCAATATCAAATATCTTTCAAAATATTATAATTTATTTTGATAATTAACGCAATTTGTAATCTTGAACAAAAGATAATAGGACGAAAATAGATAACATAATGTTGCGCCTAACTGTCGCTGCACAAACACAGCGAGATGTAACACGGTAGTTAGTGCTGAAACCAAAGGTCTGCGCTCGCAGTTCGTTAATGATTAAAAAATGACAACACGTTACATGACTGATTACGAAGCAATCCGATGATATCCGAGAGGCAAACTTTTTTTTGATTCAGTTGCTATACTGGAATTATTAAGATTGATTGGTGGGGGAGAGTTGTGAATACTTGGTAATATGAGGCTAAAGTAAATTTTCTTCAGCGGTGAACAACATCGTGTGCCAGGTGGCTTCAAAAGCGAAACGACATTTTACATATAAATTAAATGGAATCGACAATATGTCGTTATTGTTCCTAATCTATGCTTACCCTACAAAAACACCAAACGAATTACGTTTGTCACATCAGTCCAGTCAATGTATAAAAGTATTATACGATTATAATTTTTTATCTTATAATTTATAAAAATTTTAAAGAATTAACATGTTACCGATTAATATAGCTATTATCTACGTGTACCTATAATCTTAAAAATGGGTATATTCTTTATTCAAATTTACTAAATTAAAAGTTTGCCTCACCACTTCCGAGACCCACTAGCCGCCACTGGATAATAGTAAATATAACTACATATGTAACTAATAATAGACAAAAAAATAATTATTTTAAGAGAAATTGAGTGACAGAGAGTTAATAGAATTACCCGTATATATATATATATATGTGTGTAGAGGGTGATTCATTAAGTATAAGACCCTCTTTTTTCGGAAACTATTGAAAATTTTTGAAAAAGAAAATATTGTTTGATTCAAAAAACTCTACAATAATATGTAATTAAATAGTTCTTTTTTGATCCCTTCAAAATTGTAATGAATAAAATTCAAACAAATTTCAATATTGGAAATTACTGAGTAATATTTGTGTTTATACGTTTACAACAATGTTCACAAAATATTCTTAGACAACATTAGAAAATAGTCTATTTAAAAAATTGACTAGTCGATAACTACTTTTGAACTAATTGTTCAAGATTTATGTGTATTTTTATACTTCGGTCGGAGGTGCAACGCGTGGTGAATGCGTAATGGTAAAAATAAATTCACACCTCGCTTTCAGTCTATTTATTAAAGTGTTAATAACGTCTTACCTACTGGTTCAAAAAATATTATATATGTAAATAAAATAATTTAGCTTGAATATTTATTTTAAAGATCTTTATTATATATAAAAAAAAAAATTAACATTAATGCATTGTTTTATAAATGTTCAAAATCAAATTAAAAATATATTATTTTATACAATTAATATATTTTCAAAAAATTAATAAGCTAAGTTAATTTAATTTAATTAATAAGTTTGGAATTAATAAGCAAATTTACATTAATAAAATAAAACTTATTTATGAAACCACCTTTTCCAATTTCTATCTTCTAAATGTTTCGAACATAGCATACACCATTTATTAGCTGATATATTTTCTTCTGTACATTTTTTACAATAATAATGAAGGCATTTTGAAGAAACATTATGGTTTGCTTTATTTTTTTTGCATTTTACACATGGAATTATTATAGCTTTTTTAAATACTGGAATATCTATAAATAAATAAATTAATGCTGCCATTATTTAGTACTCACTACAAAATAAACACCTAGATATATTTTTGGGTTATCAAATTTTTTTCTGAAATAAAGAAAAACCATAAAAACCTATTATTTATTTTAATATATTTCCTCTATGCAAAAAACCAAGTAAATGAGTTTTACTTATATTACATAGAAAAATTTGTTTTAAGTATTACTCTTTGAATGTGTTATTCATAAATTTCCGTTTAAATATGAGTTTAAAAATTTTGTTTAAAACCTTATTTGACATGGTGGGGGTCGTATATTATGTAATATTCGTAATATATTCAGACATCTGAATTTCTAGATTTATTGAGTATTTTCGTCAGATATACTAATTACTGTAACTTTAATTAAATGTATCACTGTACTTATTTCTAAAGTATGTTTAACAAAATTTATATTAAATTTTTGATTATACTTATAAATGTCACATTTAGCAATGCACAGTCTTGATAACCATAGTTATAATGCATTATCATTATAAGAATTTAATCTGGATTTAATTATAATTAAATATCATGTAGATACAAGCCTATTACGAGCGCATATAAGATGCGAATCGTCTATAAATAGTCATCTTATAAATAAAAAAAAAACTATTGTTAAAAAATTATTACTTTTTTCTATTTTGCAATATCTACATATTACGTTAAAATTACTCATTTTATAAAACTCGTAACAAACTTTACATATTCTTCCATTGCAACATGTAGTATGAAAATGGTACCTATACACTGGTCGAATTGAATGGGCACAGTAAGTACATTCTAATAAATACATATAAATGATTATTAAAATGTTCATTAATAAATTGGGTATATAAAATGCAATCAAGCATTAACAGGAGGACTAATTTACAAATAGATGTAAATGTAAACCAGAACTTCCATGTAAGTAAAGGTATACATGAAGATCTACTGTAGCTAAATGGTATGAGCTGATTATTGCCAATCAATCGGCAATAATTGATCCAACCGATCAGCTACGAATATAAATTTGTATTATTATTTAAAAAATTCTAAACTAGTACTCACCTAATTCATCTAAAAAAAATATGTATATGGGTGATTAATTAACTATTTTGGCCACAAGATCTATTCTAAAATGATTATATGAGATTTTTGAACAATTTGAGAATTTTAGTTTTGATTCAATGATAAGAAAGTATTATATTTACTAAGATGTGTTTTTTGGGTTTATAGAACTTTAAAACTTTAAACTTTCACTGGATCGTTATTGACTGAGAGATTAAAGTTTTGTTCTAATAAATTGAAAATTACTGTAATACATCTATGTGCTAATAATAACTATGCAACTTTTTAATTGTGTTAGGTGTTTTTGAGCATTTATCAGTAATAAACATTTCTCGATTTTTGTTTTGCTAAATATTTTTCTACTAGTATGGAGGCAAAATTTGTAACAGAATTATAAAGGGAGATGAAAAAAAACACAATCAACATGTTTTATACAAGATTAATGAGAGAAAATTGTATTAATCAGTTATATTTATAATGATAAAAGTATTGGTTATTTAAAGTGTACCTAATTATTAAGAAAAATAGATAAAAATAAAATAATTGTAACAACTACATACATTTTCTCATAAATTATTATCATATTATGATAATATTATATTATAAAAATAATATAATGAGTGTTTTAGCTTTGAATCGAAGCTGAGAAGGTATTAATGTAACTATGATGTGTTTTTTTTTTCTTTTAATGTTTTTTTTTTGTGTCTGTTACCACTTTTTCTCAGTTCCGATTTTTTTCAACGACACGTCAAAAGATCACAAATCGTAGCTAGTCGATTACAATACCCTCAAAAATTGAAAAAATGTCCCTCGTTCTCCGATAATGGGGAATACAATGTAAATATTGCTAATTTTTGATATTTTTTACTTAAAACTGCCATAACTTTTTCAAAAATCACCAAATTTTGTATATTTTTTTTATAAATTTTACCTTTTACCTGCCCACAATAGGCATTCAAAATGACCACATTTTTACAAAAAATAAACTTTTTCAACTTAATTTTGAAAGTGTTTCGAAAATACTGAAACTTTTATATTTACCTTAAATTAAAGTTAATGTAATATACTTTATTATGAAAAAAGAAGTCGGACTTTATATTATTTTCATGGTAAAAACGGACATCAATGTTAATAAAATAATATGATATTTGTAAAAAATTACAATACTTAATTATTAAATATCAATTCTGTGCTGATTTTTTTTTATTTATATAAAATAGTTCACAGAATTGTACTCAAAATGCTTACCAGGATTTAAAATATAATGGCAAATGGGACAACCTTGGTTGTTGCTTATTTTCTTCCATTGCCAAAGACATTTTTCATGATATTGATTACCACAGTCATGTTCAGTAATATATTCTTTCAGTTCTTCCAAACAAATTATACATTCTTCAAAAAAACAATTTAACTCAATGTTAAATTTTATTTTTATAAAAACTAAATTAATAAGACTTAAAATAAAAGACTTATGTGCTTAATTTCATCGTTTTTCTTCATATTACATTTGAAATTTTAATAACTATAAGGGATGAGTAAAAAGATTATTTTTGATAAATAGATCATATTTTCAATGATCTCTTTTATAACTTATGTTTTTAGTAATACTTTTAAATAAAAATAAATTCATAAATCATGTAAAATTGTATTGAAATGTTGTTGACTAAAACGATTAAATATTGCCGAGTTACAACTTTCTATAGCCCATTCGAGATGTCCCTGATACATACGTTTGACTTCTTTAAAAAAATGTTATTTTATCAAAATTTTTAGGTTAGCAAAGAATAGTATTAAATATTGACATAACAGAACTTTTAACTTTGACTGCGAACCACTACCGAGCGCCATCGTCAAATGCTCTAAATCTGCTTTTTGACGATCTACGTCCTACGAACGACAGGTGTAAATAACACCTGTCGTTCTGTCGTCTAATAAATTTTAATATTTTTCAAAAATTTTCATGACAATTTTACCGAAATTTTCTGAAATTATTAAATATGCAACTATAGATTTTATAATGGGGAATATTTGAGTGAAATACATTTAATTATTTTAGTTGAGATGCAAAGCTGAGAATTTTACTATGATATTATTTTTTCTGTCGCCACTGTTTCTTAGCTCTCACTAAACCGATTTCTTTCAACGATACGATGTCAAAAGAACACAAATCGTATCTTGTTAAAGATATTTCCCTTAAAAAAAAATGAACGAATTAAAATAATTTTTTTTATATAGAAATCTTAGATATTTTGCTTTTATTTTATATACATTTTTTCAAAACCTAAATCTTTACCTGCCCACAGGAGTAGATTCAAAATAGCAACTTTTTCACAAAAGTTAATTTTTCAACTTTTGAAAATGTTCCGGAAATGCTGCGTTTTTTAAACATATGTTAAATTAAATTCTATGTTACGCACTATATATTAAAAAAAAATTGTCCCAATATCCTAAGTAGAATCACTATATCAGGTATTATATATATTAAGTTATAAGCGATAAATAATTCTTTTTTTCTTAATTATTTTATACAATTATGGTGTAATGAACAAACGTCTAATTACTTAAATTACCCAATGACGACTATTAGTATAATTGTTTTTACATTTATTTTTCAATTACATGGATTATATAAATTAAACATAACATCTTTATTTTAAACAAATTTGTAGTAAAATACGTAAATATTAATCAAACATTTAGTTAAATTATATTCGAAAAAATGTATATCGTTCATTATGATTTTTTTACATTTATTAAATTAATTATATTATCTAAATCAATGAATTGTGTATTAAAATCGTAAGTAGGGTAATTTAGGAGATTCTGGTTCCCCTATGTNTAATAAGATATTTTATTACTAAAATTTTTCTTAAATTCTACTCTACAAAATAGCTATCTTAGATTTTTTTTTTACTTTTTATTTAAAATTTTAAAATAATTAAAATTTTAAAATAATTAATATTTTTAATAAAATGTAAAAAATTTAATTATTGAGATATAGCTATAGACCTAACGTCTAACTAATATTTAAAAAAAAAATCAGCTAAAAATATTTACTGGATCAAAAGTTATTTAAGTTGTCAGTGAGTGGTGGGCCACCCTGTATATACTTCAGTTGTACTAAAAACCGTGTTGTAAATAAAGATATTTAGTTAAGTTGACTTCCTTAAGCTTTAACTGATTTTTTTTAAGAAATTATTCATGTTAAAACTTGATGAGGAGTCGGTCTGGCCTAGTGGGTAGAAACACATGTTTCGGTGCATGAGGTCCCTGGTTCGATTCCCAGAGTGTCAATAACATTTTTCTTATGATATTCTCATTGATGATGTCTGGTGTCTGGTGCAAGTCGGCCTGTCCATCATTGGCTTAGAAAAGCACCATTTTGACCTCCTAACATGTGACGGAGGGTCACCCTCTGTAGTATGTTAAGTTTAGGAAATAGATGGATGTAAAACTAATCATTTTTATTCACGTTTAAACGTGTAGGTGGGGGTAGAATTTGCACGGCTTGAGAAATAATTCACATATAAAACACATAGCTACAATAAAATACAGATAAACCCTAAAGCGCCGGCCGGAACAAGCGCCTCAGGTCCACCTAGAGCAGGCGACGTGGTTGTCTCTGTCGCAATCATTCAGTCGATTCCTTACGGGATATTATTGATTCGGCGAACGCCTGGACCAGTTACCACACCTCCCGAATCCCCAACATCAGATTCACCATGGACCTAACTCTGAGCGTGGGCCCCAGTTGGAACTCCAAAGAGTCCCGCTCATGAGCCCAAGCTTCGCACCGGAAGAGGGTGTATAGAGCGGTGTCTCCTCTCCCGGTCGATCCTGGTTGCATGTCGGCGCGACTGCCTAGTGAATGCCGTGGATGGGTTTGTTAAAGCAGTCGTATAAAGATATTACTTGTATGAGATGATAAGTCTCACAGGATAAATTTACCAAATGTTTAAGGCATAGTCGATATCAAATAATTTGGTTTCAACCTGCAGCACTAGTAAAGTAGGTACAAGTATTGTTAAGATATAAAAATATTTTGTTCATAAAGATTAAATAATGAAGTCTGTAAAATATTAAACTAAGAATTTAAAGCACCCCAGGTTGGTCCATTTGAATGTACCTTAAATATTCATTCTCTAGTCCTTTTCACGAAAGAATATTGAATGGGTGTATAAAAATTTTAGGATAAATACTCATGGAGTTACATACATTTAAATATATTGAATAGGTATGTAATGCAGGTAGTTGCATCTCGTAATGGTGTACGTATACTTTGCCCGCGTTCTATACACGGTCTATGTATTAAAATGCTCGTAATACACTAAGTACTTTCCCCTAAATATTATTCATCCATCAAATTGTTTTTAAGAAAAGGCCCAAAGAATGGCTATTCTTTAGGCTAACCATAGTCTACCGAGTAATTAAAAAAAAAAAAAAAATTGAGTGTAAAAATTTTAAAGTGGAAATCAAACAATTTATAAAGAACTTTCAACATTTTCATTAATTATTTAATTTTATGAAACAAAAAGTTTTTTTTTTTGTAAATAGTGACAGTTCGATTTTAAATTTATGTACCATACATTTATTTGAATATTACCAGTTGATAGAATGAAGTACAAAGTCATATATTTGATAAAATGTGAATTCTAAAAATAATTTAAAATGAACACAGAATGATTTATTAAGGATAAGATACTTATTTTATTGGAAATTATTAAAGATTGTTCATTTTCGTAAAGAATAATATTATTTAATTCAAAGAACTCTGCAATAATATGTAGTTAACTGAGTTTTGTTTTTACACTTTAAGAGGTTATAATGAAAATTTTAATTTTCTTCAATTGGAACCCATATTTTTAATTTGGTAATATGATATAAAAATAATTTTGTTGATTTATTTCATCGGATAACCAATAATTATAGGAGTTTTTATTAAAGAAAATTAAAGTTTAAGGTTTTTATCCCTGAAGGGAAAAAACAAAAATGATTAAACTACATATTATTGTAAATTTTTCTTTTTAATAGATAGTATCAAATTTTGTCTATGACAATTAACGACTACTGTTGCTATACAACATATTATCAATAAAAAATTGTCAAAAATCGATAAAATTAAACAAGAAATAATACAAGAGCTGTTTATTAAATAAAAAAAAAATGATAAAAACAAAATTTGTTAAAACTTTTTTCTTATCATATTATCAAAACTAAAAATAGGGGTTCCTGTAGAAAAAATTATAGTGTAGGCCGTTCACCAAGGAATGAAAAAAAAATTTGTTTTTCTGCATATTATTGTAGATTATTTTGAATCAAATAATATTATCCCTTACGAAAACTGAAAATTTTCAATAGCATCCAAGAAAATGAGTCTCTTAATTTTAATGAACCGCCATGTACATTTTAAATTAAAATACTTACCATCCTCTTAAATCAAACAATTTATAAAGATTTTTCAAAATTTTATTTTATTGGAAATATTTTTATGAGAGAATATACTTTAAGATAAGTTTTATAAATTTGTCGGTTTTATTAATTTTTCAATAGGTTGAGTACTTAGAAAATATTTATACAACTAGTTTATATGACTTAAAATTTTTCTAAAACTTAGCAAAACATGTTTCTAAATTTATTTTATTGTGTTAACTACACTAAAAATAATGACGATTTTATTTACAATAAAGACAATTTATACACTTTGCCTAGTGAAATAAAAAATGGCAATATACAGAGTGATTAAAATTAAAAAACCCAGCACTGGAAGATCGCGATACAGTGGTGACGTGGCATAGTTGGGTCAAGTATAATGATATCTGACAGTGATTAAAATCGCTATCATAAAAAACGCTTCGTTGCAAATCTGTAGATAGTGTTTAATTTAAAAAAATTGTTAGATTATTCCAAAAGCTACATGATCTCCTATTTCCTTATTTATACACCCAGAGAAAAACCTCGATCTATATAATAAATTCATTGTTCAATTTGATAAATATATCATTACTATTGAATCTATGATATATTTATCAATATGATAATTTTTTTTCTTGTCTTGAACAATAATTATTTATAAGAATAGTTATTTTGTTCGTATTAATAAAACATTATCATAAACCCTTGATAAAATTTCTCTATCAAAATTGATTGAGGTTTTTCTTTGGGTGTATCCTGATTACACGTTTTATGATTTATAAGTGTAATATATCTATATATATATATATATATTAGGGTGGCCCTCAAAAATCGAATGTCTTTTTTTTTTTTACGCTACCCCTTAATTTTATTTTAATAAATTTTATTAAAAAAAGACTGTCCATAAAATAATAAATCTAATAATATGCGTTTTCCAAAAAATAAAATGAAAATAAATAATTAATAATCAACAAAATCAGTTATAACGTATTTTAAGACTTTTACATGTTTTTTACTGTATGTAGTGTTTTTGTGGGCTATTTATTGAGAAAACAATATTGAAGTTTTTATTTTTGAATTTTTTGTAAAATTTCCTTTACTTGAGTTTTACTTTTATAATTCTAAATTAAGAAAAAAAAAAGTTATGAGACATAGATCAGTTATTTCTATTAAATTTGACTATTCGACTCAACTTAATAGGCCCGGGGGCACGGGTTAACCTTAACGGATCGGTCCCAAATTTTGCACAGCTCATTTTTTTGACCATTAAAATAAAATATATATATATATAACTATTTATTTATAAATATATAAAGGGAAATGGTTTTATTTAAAAAAAAGTATGTCGAATGAAAGAGGTTTATAAATAGTATTTATAATAAAAATTTGATGGATCCATATATTTTTCAAAAAGTTATAGCATTATAAAATTAAAAATAGAAAATAGAATTTTTTTACAAAAATCTTATTTTTTTATTAACTTTGTAGTTAGTTTTCATCGTGAAAAAAACTAATGTCAAACTCAAACTAAACTCTCCATTAAAAATGTAAGACAACTTGATAATAATACAATAATTATTATTAATAAGTATAATTTCTTAAATTTATAAATTTTTACTGAAAATGTCTAGAAAAAAATCAAAAATTTAAAAGTTAAATCAAATATATCTGACGTAGATCTCTTTAATTTTCAGATGTCTTTGATTTTCAGTCTTTAAAATGATAAAGACGAGTTAACTTGATAGATCCTACACTTACATTTTAGTACTGGAAAAAGTTAAAATGTAAATTTAAAATTCTAAGTTAGATAATTTGATTTGAAAAATCGTTAAGTAAATTGATAATCAAGTCATTGAATAATTATAGTATATATATATAACATGGTTATAGAAAATAAAACTTTTATGCTTTGATTAGATAAAGTAAACTATATTTTTTATCAAAAAAATAGTAAACATTTTAATTCTCTTTCATTTTATAAAAGCTTAAAAAATATAATTTATACGATTTATCAGGTAAAATTATTAGTTCAAATTTATATAATAAAATCCAAATACTAATGAATATATTTTTGTTTAATGCAGATAATGTACATATCTTTAAATTTGCTAAGTATTTTTACTCGGTGCTAGAGCTCTGCATGCGTCGGTTTAAACCGGTCTGGATTGAACCGAACTAGACCACGGTTCGGTCTTATACTTCAAATAATAAATAAGTCCGGTCCTAGTGGGTCTGAAGTTAAAAATTACTAGTCCTTTTTTTTACGATCCTTTAAAAAGTTCATCGGACTGATCGTATTTTAAAAGAAATTTAAAAAGAAACTAGGTCCGTCTTTAAATTGAGATAATGATAAACTTTTAAAAGCTGAGTAACATTGTAAATATATATAATTATGGATTATTGTACATAACTGTATATTGTTGCATTACTGTTTTTAGTAGAAACACACATGTGTACACAAACAATAAAACAAAAACATAATTTTTATCGTGATAGGTTCAAATTATTTTCATTATAGTAAACTATTATTAACGCTCACTAAAAATTAATACAATAAATGTCACATAAAAGCTAAATTGTTTATAATAGTTATCCACGTGCTAATAGAATTTCCAGGAATCCTAAAACATGATTTAAAATTATGGTGGAGGATAATGTATTGCTTTCTTACAACTGTCAATCGCATATTATATTACTACATAGTTTTTTTTGAACAATTAGGAATAAAATTATGGTTTTTATTGACTATAATTATGTCTAGACAAATAAAGAGTATTACGGCCAATCTAATATACAATATTATTTTAATTTAAAAAAGATTTAAAACCGTGTTATTAATTACTCTTGCGTTATTTTGCTTTTTAGGACGAGATAGAAAACCATTTCGTTTTGTACAACTTCATATTAACATTTTAAATAAAAACTTATTCAAATATATCGTAATAGTTAATTACCAACCATCATTTACATATACCATATACAAGACAATATTTTTTTTCGATTAAATAAATTGGATGGCATGAAAAATATCGGGGTTGCCATTTGAAAATTGAAGTGGTAGCAGAAAATTAATTTTTTGTTAAAAGTTGCGCAACAATGAATCGTTTTTGTAAAAAAAAAATAATGATTAACAATAATATTTGCAATAATATATTGTGAGGCATAATTAAGGAATCACCTGTATGTATAAAATAAATATGTTAAATTCTGTACAATATGAATTTAACATTGATAGGGTAAGTCTACTGAAGTATATTTTTGAGTTATTGAATTTTTTTTATAGTCTATACAGGTAATAAATTTATCATAAATCACTAAATTACACGCAAAATAAAAATAATTGTTAGAAAAAAAAACATTTTAGTCTTGCTTTTTTTAGAATCACAAATAATCTCAACAAATTCGTGAATTTTTTTGAAATTTCAGGAAGGCGAATAATATAACATTTGGAAATGATTGTAATGATGGTTTTTTAAGATATCACTTCAGGAATAAACTGTTTAAGTTAAAAGAAAAACTACATCTTTACAACAATTTTACGGCCAAACTATAAATCTTAAGAAAAAAAGCCCATTACAAACATTTCTAAATATTGGTTTTTTAAATATCCTCAAAATATCAAATTTCTACGATCACTTTAGACCGTTTAACAAAAATTATACCTTTGATCGATTTTAAGCTTAAAATTAAAGCGGTATAAAGCCCTCTTAAAAATATTAAACTAAAAATTTCAGAATTTCACCCGAACAATTTTTATAATTTGATCTAGAGCTGATGAATATTATTATGAAATTCCTCGAAACGTCAAAAAAAAACAAATTTATACAGATTGTTTTGTTGGCGTGTAGATGTCATAAATATGTATTCTTAAATGAAACATTTTCTAAAATTTATTAAAAAACTTCTTTCACTTATAAGGTATAACTTATAAGCCCATCTTTTACACTATGAAGGATGATTCTAAAAAATATTTATAAATCTAGTTTCACTGTCATGATACATCTTTTTTTTGTTGGTTGTTCTCTTCTTGCTATAATCTAATTGATTTTGAGCCAATTAAATTTTTCCTATTTTTTTAAGGAATCATATGATATGTTATGTACCCTATACTATCCTTCTCCTCCCACCAAGATATATAATTCTTCGTAACTTCTCAATTAATTATACAAACTATGATATCGGCTAGTAACTTTATTAATAGATTACTATCTAAAATTTAATAAAAATGCATGTTTCAGTTAAAGACACTTCTTGTACTTATAAGGTATAAACTTTATAACTTATAAGTCTATCTTTTACTCTATGAAGATTGGTCCTGAAAAATAATATTAATTTTTTTGGAATAAATCTCAATTTATTAAGAAAATTAGTTGGAAATACAATTAATATATTTTTAAGAAGAATACATATTTTTTTATTTAATAAACTTTTAATATTTATAATCAAATTAATCGAATTTTTTTCTGTGTGTAGGTTACATTAATTACATAAAATTTCATGAACGTTAAAGAAATAATTTCCTTAAAAATGATTTGTGAATATGTTCCAAACAGTATTGACATTTATCTCGTTTTTTTTCTCATTATCTAGACATTTTTTGCAATACCAATGTAGGCAATATGGAGAAAAACTATTGTCTGCATTTTTTTCATGGCAAATTACACATGGAAGTTTTAATTCTGTTTTAGCTGCACGAACACCTATGAATAAAATATAACTATCATCATTATTTATTACATAGTAAATATTTTGATATATTTTATGTTATCAACTATTTTTGCAGAAGTACTGAAAAATTGTTTATTTCAATATTTGTTTGCTATGCAAAAAATGACTAATTAAATAAAAGTTTAAAAAATCATGTATAAAACCTCATGTGACAAAGAAGGGGTCATTTATTAAGTAATTATATTGCTGTAATATTATACAATTACAAGTTATAAATTATTATTTTGGTAAGATTTTTTAAAAATTATTTAAAGATTAATTAAATTTATAACTCTAGTAATTCCTAAAGTAAATTATCAACACTTATATTAAATAGATAGTTTTATTGAGAATTATAAATGCCAAACATAGCAACGCGAGGTCTTGAAATTCCCAAAATTAATATGCATTATTATAATAAAATATTTAATCTGAATATAATCATAATAAAATATCGAATAGATATAGGCCCATAAATATTAAAGAAATCATTTTTAATCAAAATTAAAAATGATAATGTATACTAATTTTGGGGATTTAAGACAGTGCGTTGCAAAGTCTGACATTTATACATATTTTTTTGTATATTTATAATTTAAATTTATGCTGTGAGCTGAATGCTCCTCATTGGAAGCCTCATCGTATAAATAAAAAAAGAAATCATTACCTTTGTTGTTGCATTTTGGACATGTATTGTATTCTTTTAGATGATTATTGTAACAATGTATGCATAATCTTTCTTTGCAACATTTAGTGTAAAAATAAAACCTACAGAAAATTTATTTTAATGTTAGCCACTCAATTCCTCCTATAATCATAATTATATTAAAAAAAAATTTTTTTGTATTTATTAGTTTCATATATTTTTAGAGTTATCAGTTATTAATTACTTTTTTAATTCATCCTATATACCTTTCAAGGATGCCAACTTTATATTTTTAGTGGCAGCATACGCATTTAACTAGTTTATAAAAAAAAAAAAATGCTTTAATCAAGAAAATAACGAGTCCATAACAAATTTTGAATCGGTACTTCAAAAGTTATTAACATTTTAATACCTCGAGCAGGAGAGTTAAGGTTAAATAGAGAAGTATAAGGCATGAATTAAAATAGTTATTAATAATAGATAAGTAAAAAAATATAAAAAACTATGTAATACCATTTTATTTCAAAATTATTTTCTTTACATAATTATTATTTTAAAAGAAATCGAGTGTCTAGCGTCACCTTATATACCCCGATTGAAGTACACGGTTGCATAAAACACAATCTAATAAATACATACAAATGATTAATAAAATGTGATTGATTAAATTATTAAAATTAATTTAAATGATTCATTAATTAATTAGGTAAACAAAATTCAATCAAGCATTAACAGAAGAAATAGTTATCAATAAAATGTCAATGCAAACCTGGAAATTTATGTTATCGAAGGTATAAGTACGAATTATCATTACTGTAGTTCTAAGTATGAGCCAATTGTTAGATACTTATACAAGCTTTAAATAGTGATTGCAATTTTGTATATAATACTTATAAGCATACAAAATATTATTACTTTACCCATTAAGTATAATATTTTTTGGATTTGATCAAATTATAAATTATAATTTTAATAAATATTTAAAAAATTCTAATTTATACATAGATGGACAGTGTGACCGAGTTAGTAAAGCGGCAGTGCTTAACATGCACTGCCTCGGGTTTGAATTTTGGTCACGGGCGACTTCATTTGCCGAACGAGCGATCAGTTCGGTAATTGAAGTAGCCATTCCTCTCTCCTGCAATGGACTAACTACCCGTTCCGAAATATCAATGGTTCAGAAACCTCCTCTTTTGGGGGAGGCCGCAATAGCCTTTAATGGGCGTATATAGCGTTAAAAAAATTTATACATACACATTTATAGATATATACATAAAAAAAAATTCGAGTGATTTATTTATTATTAACCAGTAGATTTTTTCAAAAATAATTATAAATAAAATTTTTTTGCTTCAGAGCGATGCCTTCATTTGATTAATATGCCACAAAATCAAAAATGTGTTTAGTTAAAGGCATTGCCCTCATAAATTGATAAAATTATACTGACATTTTTTTGTTAAGTGAAATATCTCAAACAATATGTGTTATCTAAAATTTTAATTAAAATTAATCCTTCCTACAGCAAACACAGTCAAGTATCTTGACCTTACCTTGGACAAAAAACTCATTTGGGGCCCACATTTAAAACATAAAACTCCAGACTCCGTCTTCTCAGATTTCTATTTAAATCTCAGCTCTCTCTTTTCAATAAACTAATCATATACAAATTTTTAATCCGTCCAGTCTGGTCCTATGGCATACAACTATGGGGCCATAGCCAAACCTTCAAACACCAAAACTAATCAGGCGTTCCAGTCAATATGTTTGCGCATTTTTTTTTTTTTAACTTCTTAGACGGGTGACACTGCTATATATTATATGTATATAATAGCTGTCATCAAATTTGCTTAATGTACTTGTATAGATTGTAAAAAAAATTTCTGACAAATGAATAAAATAAAAAATATCATTATTGATATTTAAATTACAATAATAGAAAATAAAATGATTCTGATTGCTTAAGTAAAAATTTGTTCTATTATATGTATTGTCTATTCACTATTATTTGAGAAAATTATGATAACAGGGAAGCATCAATTGAAATTTTTACTTATGAAAGGATTTCAAAAACACCTACATAAACGTAATTTTGATTATACATATATATTACAGGCAATCTATCTTTGGTATACTTCTATGAAAATTAAGATAAAACTTAATAATAGAAATGGGTTTGAATGAGTCCTACCTGGTATACCAAATAAAATTTTTAAAAATGATCGGAACATCTGACAATTTTTAAATAGTATAAAATTAAAGATTATAAAACGTATAAAATGTTTAAAAAATCAAACAATCAATTGTGTACTGAACACTCTGTATGAAATATGCTGAAAAAGAGAAGAAATATACAATTTTTTTCAAAATCTTTCCTATTTTCTAGTCTTTTGTGTAAATCAATAGTTTATTAATTTCTCAATTTATAAGTGGTAAAATATTTACTAAGTTTACATTTTATAATGCCATCAACTTAATATATTCTTAAAGTACCATACATGTATATTAATATATAGATTTTATTAAATATAAGTTTAGAAAATAATCCAACTAAGAAATGATTATTCGATAAAAATGTTCAGATCTTTTTTTGTTACTTATAAATACTTTTGTTCTACATTGGAAGGATAATTTGTGATCAAATAATAAGTGGATATAACTAAAACATTATCATCATGATTTATTAAAAGGTTATTGAGAGCAAATTCTTTCAATCAGTCATATTTAAAATTATACAATTAATAGAAAATTTCGTAATTGACCTCAGCTGATATGTTTGCTTTATAAATGGACATTTTCTGTTCATTTACTATTTTATATGCAGTTACCATTTCAACATTGTTAAACTGATAAAATTTATTTAACTCTGAATTTTTTAGTCACACTTGTGTTTTCGTGATAAATTCATCGTATGCATCAATCGCAAAAATATTTGCAGATTCTTATGGAGAAATATAATATCTTTATTATACTTTATAAACATTTGTTGCTTAAAATAATAATTACCTCCTAGCATTACATTTTAAAATCACAACTGTACTATTAAGTCAAACATATTGTTAAGTTTAATATTATTAATATTACAATACACTTAAGTACAATTTGAAAAAAATCAAACTATAAAACATCTAAATTATAGTAAATGTATTAGATTCGTGATTTACAATGATAATAATTGTATTAACTTATAGTATAAGATAACGTATCCCTAACATTCAATGACTCAACCGCTGCGACAATATTATCATCAGTATTATTTAATGATGTTTATCAATTAATAGGTATTTTTGTTAATAAATGTTTAAAAATATATCACAAATATACTTACATGTAATGTATTTATTAAGCAAATATTCAAAAAGATAAAAACAAACAAAATCTGTTTTCCCCTATCGACAATCTTCATCATAAGTCAAAATGTTTATTACGAGTATTATAATAATCATTATTATACGTATTATATTTATACAGAATAGTTCAAAATATTGCAAACATAATGCTTACTAGGATGCTTTATTTCTTGGCAATAAGGACAATTATTCAATTCGTTTTTTCCACCCCATGTTTGAAGACATTCTTTATGAAATTAATTACCACATACATGTTCTATAACGTCGTTGTCAAGTTTGCCATAACAAATTAGACATTCTTAAACAAAAAATAAAAATAAAATGTTTTTTTTTTTTATAAATGTGATAAAAAATTATGAATGTAATACAAATGAAACTAATTTCTAAGTATAGATGAGTCATGAGCATAACTTCATTCTATAGTTTCATTGTGTTATTTGAAAATTTTTGAGAATAACAATAAATATATCATGCAGTATAAGTAATTAAATAGCCGCAGGAAAAAAAGTTTAGCACTCAATCTTAATGTAGCATTATAAGATCTTGTGCTCGCATATGCGTTTGTGTATTTGTAACAAATTGTAATAAATATCTCAGTGTTTGTTAGCTAGACTTTAGTAATAACATGTCTCAGTAGTAATGAAGTATTAGTGTCGTTATAGCCTCAGAGTGATTTTTTTTAAATTGATCACTCGATTACCCTTAAAATAAAAATTATGTTAAGAAAATTCTTTTCTGTATTTTTTCGTTTCATGTATTCCTCGATTTATCAATTGATATATCTTTTTTGAATTCATCCCTTATAACTTTTAAGGATGCCAACTTTATTTTTTTAATGAAAACATACATATTTTACTATTTAATATTTTTAAATGTAGATTAGAGGAAGAGAACAACAGAGTAAATAACAACTCATTTCTCACCACTTCTCTATTTTTTAAAATAGCTATAACATCAGAAATAGTGGGTCACAAATTATAATATATTATTAATTTTCTCAATTAGTTAATTTTTATTTAATACGTTAGTTAAATATGAATGTTGTCTTTTAAAAAATAAAGTTGATACCTTTAAGGAGATATATGACATAAATAAAGAATAACTGATAACTAATAAGTCAAAAAATATATCAAACTATAAAATTAAATTAAATTTTCTTAACATAATTATTATTTTTTAAAAAATCAAGTGTCTAGTGTTAAATAAATCATCTTGTATACTCCGTTTGAAGTACGCGGTTACATAAAACACAATCTAATAAATACATAAAAATGATTAATAAAACGTGATTAATTAAAATAAATTTAAATGATTTATTAATTAATTAGTTAAATTTTTATACATTAAAGGGAGAAGAGTTGCTGCCGAGAAATGTCTAATGATAAATATTGTCATTTATGCACCTCACTTACTGTTTATATATTAAATTGTTTTAAAATAAAAATAACCATATTACTTTTAACTTATTTTGAAAAATAATATTCTTAGCATCATCTATCTATTAAAGGCAATGCCTTGCTGTTGAAGCTACTCATCTTTGTTTGATGCCATATTCTTAAGTGTAACAAAAGATGCACAAAGATGTTCATGAATTCCAGAATATTTTCAAAATATTGTTTCCTTGGGCATCCTCTTTATTTCTTCCCAGTTATTTTTCCTTCGAAGATGTTGATTACAAAATCATTGTGTTGGATGATGTATTCGATTAACTTTATTTTTCTTGATTCAATCATTTCTATCAGCTGTTATTCTTCTCATACTTCTTCTAGCACTTAGTCATTTCTTTTCTTGTTTATCCATTTTTCTTTGTTATTTTTCTCCATATCCATAACTCTAATGCTTCTACTTTGCTTCTGTCTTTCTTGTCATGTTTCACTACCATATGAAAGCACACTCTAAAAAAATATTTTATCGAATGTTATAAATGCCAATTTTCAGATGTTTATGAGTGAGAAGTTGATTCTTGTTTTAGAATGCTTGCTTTGCTAATTCTATTCTTCTTCTGATTTCTGGTACTGATTCGTTATTGAAAGCTATGATACTTCCAAGGTAGCAAATACTCAGACCGGTTGTAATCGTGTATTGTTTATTTATATATTAAGATTTAGATTTTAGTGCATTTTAATTATAGACACAGTTTTGGTTTTCATGGAATTTATTTGCAATATTTAAGATATTGATTTTCAAAAATCTGTCTCAGTTCTAATATCGCTTATCTTATTCCTCCACCTTTCCTAATCCAGATTTATCTTCCGATATATTTTGTTCTATGTTCTTTCTCAATCTGTTTTTGATAATGTTTAGAAGTATTTTTGAGCGTGAGAAAGGAGTGTTTTAGTGCTATAGTTTCTACATTCCGTTGTATTGCTTTTCTTCGTGACTGTTATAGTTCTACTTTTAACAAAATTTAGTGGTAGACTCCTACAATTATAGCTATCTTTAATGATTTTAAACAATTGATATTTTGTTTTTTCCCCTATATTTTTCAGTAGTTCAGTTGGGATATCGTTAATTCCTGTTGCTTTTTTGTCACCCAGTTTTCCTAGAGACTTTTCGAATTTGCTCATCAGTATTTCGGGTCCTTCTCTATCTTAATTTACATCTATTTCATTTTCTGTATATTTCTCTTCATTATCGATCTCCTCTTTTCCCTCATATAATTTTTCCATATACATTGTCTACCTCTCTACTACCTTTTCATATTCAAACAGAAGTTTCCCATGTTTATCTTCAACTTGACACGGCCACGGCGTTATCACACGTTTGACATCCCGCAGTCGNGTTTGACACCCCGCAGTCGTATCAGCTCCTTCTCAGCCACCGCTCCACTGTAAACCGGACCGTTACACACACGCGTTATCGTCGTGGTGTAAAGTCCAATAAATGCCTAGCGTCGAATACCCGCCGCAATAATACGTCCAGGAAGTCATCTTCGTGACACCTATCACATTGGTCGCACCGTCCGTGAAATCAACCAAATCGCCACCGCTAATTCGGTTATCTTTTGTTATTCTGTCGACAGTTTTTTAGAAGTATTACTATTATTTTTGGTTCGACTATAATTTTTCTTGTGTTACAATTCTTGTTTTTATTTTTCTTATTAAACGCCTCGACGCCACTTAGAAAACCAACCAGTGTTACTTATTTTATTCATCATCAACTTTTCCCATATCAAACTATGTTGATGGATGCCTTGGGTTTATATTGCAGTTTTTAATTTTATTATAGGCTTTGCCTGTATTGTTGCTTTGTAGATCACGTTATATTTTTAGTATGTTTTGCCAACATTCTTTTTTTAGACGTCATTTTGTTGTCACTTCGTTTTTTATCTGTTTATATAAATTGTAATTTCTGTTCCTTAATTTGTTCCTTCTTTCAATCAATTCAAGAATTTGTCCTGTCATCCATGGCTTTCTCGGTTCTATTTTATTTTTACCAATTATTTTATCTGAAACTCTAATTATATCCATCTTATACTATCCCAGATTTTTTCTCCAACATGAAGTTCATTTATATTCCTTATTAATTTTTCTGTTATATTTTAATATTTTACTTTTCTAATGCATTATTTCTTCTTTTTTGTTATTTCTATTATTTTCTTAAATTTGATATTGTATGAGCCATTACAAGGTTATGGCCACTATCGATGTTATATCTTGGGAAAGTATTGCTAGATTTGATCTGATTTCTGAACTCAGTTTTTACAAGTACGAAATCTATTTGATACCGATTCCTATCTCCAGGTGCTTGCTATGTGTATTTTCTCTTTAGCAGGACGTCAAAGCATGTATTTGTTATTATCAGTTCCTGTTGTTCACAAAACTCTATTAATCTTGTCCGCCTTTCGTTAATCCTTCCTAGACCATATTTTATTGGAAAGTTATTTCTTTCACAGCCTATCGATGCCTATGATAAATACGTTTGAGTTTC